GGACGATTGTTTTAGCGGCATGTATAGTTTATAATGTCTCTGTGGGTCGTAGTTCTTTCCCAGTGACACAGATATAAGCACACTGTAATAAAACTACAAACATGACTGAATCTATAGACACCCTGGTCAGAATCTACCTCATACACTCAGCTTGGCTGTAGGAAATGGATACTTACTGTCTCTGTCTATAGAAAAGTTGTAAAACTGAACTTGTTGGAACCTATAGAAACCCTGTTAAATGATTTAAATTCAAGATCTGATCAATTCTTCTCCATTGCTCTCTTTTTAGCAGAGATATTGATCACACTGCCAAGCGGCTATACTGTATGTGTTATTTTCCTTTATCACCACTAATCCATGAAACTGAATTTCACTGCTCAACAATCCAGCATAAGCCAAGTGAAATGAAACAGAGAGATCCTTTAAATCCATTCAGCCATATTCACTGTTTTCTACTAACCCCATCTCATCTCCGTCTGGCCCCCTGTAAATCCACTGCAACTTTACATTTAGATATCACACCATTCTCTGCCTCTAATCTGATATTAAATTATCTAATGGAAACCTACAGAAGTTTTGGAGACGGTCTGGGCTATGACTTTGTTTCATGCATTTATTTCTGTTTTCTTACTCTGTCCTTTTTTCTCTTATTTCTAATGGTTCAGGGTCATTCTGTCCCAAAACCAAACAAGTAATTGGGAAGATGAAATCCAACACAGACACATGGGATATGTAAGAGTGAAATAAAATGCCAGTTTGTGTCTATCCTCAGCTGCTGCTCAGTAGTCATTACAATTTGTATTCCCTTTCAAACCTACAGACAAATGTATTGATTCAAACTCTTCATGTGGCTAAAAACTTGAATTACTATTGGATTTGTGTCCACTTAAGGTGGCAGGAGGGATTTGTAAAGCAGACTCCAAAGAACGGTTGACTGGAGCAGTATATACGATTTTCCCCTCTCTGCCCCTCCCCGGGTTTCCTGCTTCCATTTTCTTTCTTTTTTTGAGAAATTTTATTAAACTTTTCCCAGAAGAATTGAAATGAAATGAAAGTAAGCATCTTCTAACCGTCTGCTCCCATTTATTGCTGTGCTCCCGCTGTTCAGAGATCCCCTGAGTGTTCACACAGTGGCTCGTAGCTTGAAGGTCACAGGAGTTTACTCGTCTGTAGCATCGTATTCAGAGCTAACACTATAAATCAATATTTAAAATTCACACGTTCAATTCGATTTTTTCTTTGTCATAGATTCATCGCTTCACATTGAGTTGATGCTTCCCTTAAATGGCGAGCAAAGACAAAAGGTGTGAATGAAACTTTACTTAATAGTCAGATCCAAACCAGAAGTGCTAAAAGTTTAGCTTCTTAGCATCCCTTAATTGGGCACCAGCCTGCGGATTATGAGACAAGCGTGACCGTTTGGTACACTCCGTCACAGTGTGTCGGTCTCAGGAGTTCTGCCCTATGGACTATTATCCTCAGACAAAAACCCCATTTCCCAGCAGGCTTGTGCTACTGACACGTCCACACTCTGAAAAGCCTTGTGTTCACAACAGCTGTAAAGTGAGCTTGTTCTATTCTATTGCTCTTCTCTCCAGTTTAATCTCTCCCACTCTTTCTCGCTTTCATTTCAGCCTCATTGTTTCTCTTGTGCATGGGGGAGGATCCTGCATTAATTAAAAGAAAAAGACTTTTGAAGTTGGATGCTTGGCCTCGGGAGGTTTTGCTTCATGTTTAGTTGTGGCATCTGTTGCATTTATTGTTGTTGTGTTGTCGTAACATCCCAGACATTCAGGTACCGGACAATGTAATTTTATTATTCAAGTGATGCAGTGCAGCATAAAACCTTTGTTAGTTTTTTTCCCCCAAATCTAATTAGTTTGTAATATTAAGGGTTTTCTCCCTCTTATATTTGACCTCAGGCAAAAGTCCTTTAATGATCATGAAACAAAGTAGAGATCAAGCTCATGCCTCAGACTGATCAGTAACACAGCACAATCTAACTAAATAACTCTAATATAATTTCCAAAATTGCCAACTATGATTTTTTTTCAGTTACTGTCACAATTATTTATTGTTATTTTTGCAGACATTTTCTATTTGCAACCTTTTAAACACATTTTTTTTTAATGCTTTTTTATGTAATTCTGTGTTATTTATGGTTCAGCTGTGAACGAAACAGGTCAGAACCGCTGACACTATAAATATATATATATATGGTAGCAGATGGGACATGGGCCAAAATAAAATGACAAAGTACATGTCAAATAATTTTTAGGTTTGGGTTTTATAGGTTTTATAATAGTTTTTTAGTTCTGTCATTTAACTACTTCTTCTTACGCTGATAACAAAGTGCACATTTTTCTGGTTTTATTTTCATGCTGTAAAAATGGGGTGAAAAACGAGACAGACTCACGACTGGTAGAGCACATGTAGCAGCGGGACCTCGACACCACAGTTCCATCCGCTGTTCGCTAGCAAGATGGCAGCGTTTGTATCTGGGATATTGTGGTTTCATTTCTGGATAGTTGGAGGAAGTGGATACATGTCGTCCATCTTCACGTACAGTCTATGATGCAGAATCTGTGATCAGTGATGACGAGAGATTAAACCGTGACAGCAGTCCAAAACCAGAGTTGGATGTGTGACTGAAAAACCTTACTTACATCATCCCCAAGTCTCCTGCTATGAAAGACTTTCATTTCACCCCTCTCTCCAGTCTTGACAGATCTGAAATTTAAAAAAAAGGAACATGGATCATCTGTAAAAAAATGAGACCAGGACCCCCTCAACACAATGAAGTCATGTGAGGGGGTGGTGATCTAACCCGAGATGATGGGCTGTCAGCAGCTGCAGTGATAACTGTGCCGAGATGGACAGAATAAGGACTGAAGAAGCGAGACAGAGCGAGGGAGAAGGCAGAGATTCAGGTTATGGGGAGAGGAGACATAGTGTAGAAAAGAGAAAGAGGTAGAGCATGACAGAAAGACGAATAGCAAGGGGAAAGGAAGCCACAGAAGAGACAGAGGACTGAATCGGAGGTCTGGCCAGATTGGAGCTACTCGGCCAAACTGCCCCTCTCAGCATGGGACTCCTGCCTATTTCCATCCCATCAACCCCCTCCATCTCTGTGCCACTCTCTGTTCACTCTGATGCCACATCCACAGCTGAGTCTGTGAATGAGTGATATTACCTTATGCTAATAACTTATAGGCTGCACCAGAGAGTCCCTGAAGCAACCGAAATGTAATTCGTCACTCATTTCCTCCTCGGCTTTTGTTTCCTCCTCCCTACATTCTGACATGTCTTCTTCTGCTTTCCCATTTTCTACCTCCATTTAGCTCCATCTCCCTCCATCTCTTGTCTGTCTCTCTGTGGTTGTCCTATTCCTATTCACTTCCTGGATTTTCTACTTTTCCACGCCGGTAAACAGATAGGCGGACGTGTTGATAAATTCCAAAAATATACAGTAGCTTTTAAATGACCGCAGCTGCCGGTAGAAACTCTGTTTAAATTTAGCTTAGCTATAATGAAAGTTTTATAAATGGACGTTCAGACATCACTAGATAAAAACAAGCTGCACACACAAGCTATTTCCTACATACAGTAGGAATATTTACATAAAGTAGCTGTCAGGCGTAACTGTGTTGCTAGCTAAGCTGTGACAAGGGTAATGTTAGCTTGTTTACATGTGATTTAGATTAAAGAATGATATTAATTCAAATTATGTGTATTGGGTTTTTAATTAAATATGAGTATTGACATTTGTGACCTGACATGAAAGTAACACAACCTATTACAGGTCACATATTATACATATTATATAACAATGTATCAAAACGCCTGTTAGCTTTGCTAAATCAAGTATTTCAGAGTAATTTGTGCATGAACGCAGTTAAAGGCCCATTCAGATACAACAAGGACTTTTTTTGCTGCATTGAACAAATCACAAACTCAGTGCTGTGACAAACACTTCACTGATGAAGTATACAGGCCGGCACAGAATGCACAATGTGTGTCTGAGTTCCCCGGATTACATGACATGAGATTGACACAGGCATGTTCATTTGGAACGATCAGGTATCTTAATGTGGTTTGGGGAAAATATGTAAACAAACAGAAAACAATTAAAAACCATTACAAATCTAGTGATGTTTTAAGAATAGCTGCTGCCCCCCCCATATTACTGTCACCATCCAGCCAACACTTGCTCCCTCTCCCATCCTTCACTCCCTCCTGTGCCTTCCTCCCTTTATCCATGTTTTTTCTCAGCCTCCCCCTCTCTATCTATGAGTGGTATCAGCCATCTTTGATGTCTTTTGTGTGTTTCAATGAGTTTGTTGTTGACTGTTGATATGACCCCTCCCCCTTTCTCTGCCGCTCATCTTGCACCAAAACAAGTAATGCAGGCAGGACCCAGTCTACATGGGGGGATACACACTTGCATGTGTCTTACTTTGCTATAGCAGACGTCATCTACATGCACAGACACAAACACCTCTGACTGTATGCATACGTATATGTCTTAAAGGTGCAGATACACCTGCACTGGAAACACACACACACATGCATGTATGTAAGAGGACAGAGGAGTTTGTTTCTCTGTTGTCTCTTGGGAGACAGCTGTGGTCTGATCTATTAATCATCTTCGTCTCTAGATTGCTAATTAATGACCCATCTGTCCCAGCTCACTGATATTCCTCTTCAAACTCTGCCACACACAAACACACATCGCTGCAACACAACAACAACAAATACGGTGCTCGATTTAACTGTAACTACAGTTAAACATCAGTTTAAAACAAATATTAACAGGCAGGGGGAGCCACACTGTCTCATCTGCATTCAAGACCATGTGCATGAGACCACGAAAGGAGAGTTTGTGGCAACTTTATCCGGGAGGAGTTCTCCTCTTCAGCTGCTGTGATTTCAGGAGGCAGACAGTGTGCGATCAGGATTGTCTGTGCAACTTAAATGTGGGTGTATGTGTGTGTTCGTAGGCTTATCAGGTGAGCCCGGGCAGAGTGTCAGATGCGGTAATGGAGGCTTCAAAGACAAGCGCTGCGGTGAGTTCCCTGGCTGCATTTTACCAACGTCCCCCTTCCACCACCACCAACCCATCCAACTACTCCCCCCACTCCACCCTTATCCTTCCTCTTGGGTCGCACTCAGACATGCACGCAGTTAGACACCTGGAAGGATAAGGAAGTGATGCAGTGTGGGACGTCAGCAGCGAGATAAATAATTAGGCAGAGGCAAAGTCAAACAGACAACAGAGTAAATCAAGCTGAGCGACAGGCAGAGGAGGCGCTGCAGCCGCAGGACAGACACATACTCAGTCAGACAGTCAGGGTCGTGGCCAGGTGCTCCTCCAGCCCACCTCCCTTTCACTTGCATGACTAGAGCCACTTCAAACACCCACCGCCCGTCTGCTGCTTTGTTCTGATGTTCTCTTTGCAGCTGTGGTTATTGTTGTTGTTGTTGTTTGCACATCATCGTCGCCGCCATCGTTGATTTGCTTCCTTTGAACGGCAGTTCTATTTCTGGCTCGCTCTTTGCTTGTTTCCATTCTCATCTCCTGTACTGTGTGTATATGCTTCAGTGAGTTTATTCACGTGCGTGTGTGTGTCTTTTGTTTTGAATTTGACAAACAGAAGCAGCCGATGAACAGTATTTCAGTGTTTGATCATTACAGTGGCAGGGATTTTATAAAGTATGAAAAAGTCAGGTAGACAGTAAATGATTATATTATAGACAATATGTTAAATAAATGTGCTGTACAAGCATTTAAAGCCATTAAAAAGCAACCAGTTGCATTATAGGAATATCTCCTCAATTTGTTTTCTTTATACAAATGTTTTAAAAGCTGATTTCCAAGCATTAACAAGTCACTGTAAAACTAATTTGCTTTAATACAACCAGAGGTTATTGCAAAATTCAGGTCAAAATCAATATAATGTTTTTTTCATATGGAAAACTCACAGATATAAGTATTTTTTGTATTCCAACATTTTTTCATGTCAGTAAAATAGTATGGACCAGTTTTTATTTCACTGATTTATGACCACCTTCCTCCACCCTCCCTGCATTATTCTTATCAGGAATATCGCAACATATTCGGTTTACAGACCTTGATAGCATTTGTATCCATTTACTATTTATTTAGTTTATTTATTTGACTTATTTTGAGTTAACATTTGTAAAGAGGTACTTTTCATGGATTTCATGTGTGGCAAAGCGACCCTGGAGCGATAATAACAAAAAGAATCAAAAGAATAGAGCGTCAAATTGGAAAAACAGAGGGTAAAGGAGGTAAAGCAGAAAAAAAGTGCAGCAACATTTCCTTTTGCTGTCCCATAAAGCCTCAGTATCTATTTCATATTATCATACAAACATTTTCTTGTTTCTTTTTTGTGACCAACTCAAAAATATGTATGCAATGTGATTAGAGGGCCTTTATTAGTAAATTGAGTATGTTTTTAACATTGTTTGATTATCAGTGATATTGTCATCTTATTTTCAGTACTTAACTATTGCAGTTTTGAAAGTATAATTGTAAATACTTACAGAGGGATATGCCTGTCAGTGGGATGTACTTGGACTAGCACTTATTAAGTATTAGGGTGATGACAGTGCAGTGATGAGAAATACTAGACCAATGACATCATGCAGCATCATGTTAAATTAAGAGACATTCTTTTGTCTTCTCATGCCAAGGGTACCAAACTCAGGTTACCACAACAATACTGGAATAGCTCTAGGTAGTGTGCATACCTCCGCCAAGGCCCAACAGAAGTTCAAACAAGTCACTCCAAATTTCATTCATCATATCAGTCCCCTGAACACACGTGACAGGTTTGGTGTTGAATCTTCTCTGATGCCGTTGCTAATGTTATGTCTTGTCTCCTCGTTTTCCTTCTCTGTCCTTTCTACCTCCTCCTCTTCCTCCTCTCTGCTCCTCCCTCCATGCCCCCAAACAGCAAACCCTGGAGAACAACCTGACCAACCTGGTGAAGAGGAACAGTGAACTTGAAAACCAAATGGCAAAGCTCATCCAGATCTGCCAGCAGGTTGAGGTATGTAACACGTCTTTGTATCTTTAGCTGTTTAATGGATCCTCGCTTCAAGTTGTCAAAGTGATAAAAATGATATTGGACCCATCTTGTTTGATGATAAGGAAAACCAGCTGCATGTGACTAATTCCCCAGTTGGTTGGTTGAAAGACATTCAGTGGACATAACTTAGCGCTGCTGTCACACCACTAAAGCTCCCCTGGATTTGACTGAAATCCGCTGCAGTCCGTCATCCCTCACCATTGATGCACCACGCGTCAAACACAAAGCTTTTTGCTTTTTGGCTCATGAATAACTCACCAGGACATGAGGTGTAAGGCCTTAGCCTGGATGGATTCTCTCTTTCTCTCCCTCTCCCTCTGATTTATTGTCATGAATGTCAGATGAACAATATTGCCAATGCATTAATAATAAAAACTAAAAAAAAAAAATTAAAATTGGGGTGACTGCTCTGACTCCCTGCTCTTTCCACTTATTCTAACACAGTGGAAAACTTCTGATTGAGGATCTCTCTCTGTCTCTGTCTCTCTGTCTGTCTCTCTCTCTTCTTGGATCATGTTTGTGCTCGCAATATAATCAGTGTGCCATTTTTCTTCACCAGCTACTGATCAAAAATTGAGTAGTCTCAACATTCAAAGTTAATTTTCAGTTCCTTCCTGTGTTAACGGAGGGTGAGCATCGCAATGTTTGCCTGGAAGCCAACATGGAAGCCAAAGGAAAGAGAAATGGAACTCCGCTTATGAAAGAGAGCAGATGCATTGACATTCAAAAAAGGATGAAACAGGAGCTTTTGTTTAAACTTTTTCAGTAAGAATAATGCCGAGCTCACAATTATCATGATATGAAATTTTCACATCAAGTCGTCTTTACGCCCAGATTTATTCATTACAATCACCCAATATTACCATTTTTTAAATTTTAAAATCATGGAAAAAATAGATCTAAACTCCAGGTGATGGCGACCTCCTGTACTTTGCAGACTGCAGCTCTCCAGATAATTTGTCTCAAACCATTACACAGTCGCTCTCGATAACCAGCCACCCTCAATCTGTTTAAAAGGGTGGTTATGTAATTCAGACAACTTCAGACATTGGAAACCACTCTACTGTGAGCACAGCTACAACCCAGCTACAGTATTTCCTATTTTCAAGGTGCTAACAGCTTAATGCAGTGCTTTTACTGCGTTGTAAATTCAGATTTTGTGCCTCTTCAAGGTCATCAACCGAACTGTACCTGTTTTAATACAGCGTGGTTTGGTCTTCATGCATCTCACTGTGTTGAATATTATGATAGCGTGAATTGCTGTTAAACCACTCATCAGTTTAATTCTCGCTGGCTTCACCCATACAAGAAATTTATGCTCCCCAGTCCAAACCGATAAGATTATCTGTCAAACGACGTATATCTTCCAAGTGGAATCTTTATTTGACTTGTCACGAGCTCATAATTTTTCACAGCTTCAATTTAGTGACAACCTTGGAGAAATGTTTTCTCTCTGGTATCCCAGCGTGTACCCCTACCTGTCTGCAGAAAATTACACCCCAGCCAGTCTTGTCACCATTGACCTCTTGGGCTCCTGCTGTGATTTAATGGAGGTGCTGTGTGAAGCCAGCCTGAGAGTACTAATACTTAGCCACAGAGTGCTGTCTGCGCAGTATCACTCAAACCGTGCATGCACAAACACACACACACACACAAGCACATACTTTCTGTTTTAGCGTGCCCGCGTTTAATAAACGCCATCATTTCTCTGCGAGATTTGACATTAATGGCTGCTGAGGACGAATGCACCGTGGTGCTGCCATCATTCTGTGCGCAGTTTGTTTCTTATTAGCCGGAGCTGACTCCACTCTGAGGTCAGCCAGACACAATTCATGCAGCTGGGCACACCAATCGAAATCAAATGATCGCAGTGTGATTCATTAAGTACAGACAAACAGTGCTGAAAGAAAAAAGATCTGTCTTTTTTTGTCTCCGTCTGCATATCAACGCTGCACCACCATCAACAACAACAGCAGATTCTCATCACTTATTAATCAAAAGGAGCGATAGCATGGGGCGACATGCTCCACTGACTCTTAAGCTAACTATTAAAAGAAACTATATGTTTTATCGCTCTGTTTTTACCCATTCATAACTGCTCTCCAGTGTGATGTAAATGTCAAAAGTCCACTTTAATTATTGACAGGAGTGCACTGATTTAAGGTGGGTTCACATTAATGTGCCGTGGCTCTTTATGGATGGCCGCAGGAAAGCGGAGAAGAGAGAAGGACAAATGAGGAGAGGGAGGATGGAGATCGATGGAAATGTGAGGAACATAGTGGGCGAGCTCTCAAAGGAGAGAGGAAAAAGGAAAGGGTAAGATGAAGGAGAAGGAAAGAGCAAGGTTGAGAGGGCAAGCCGAGGGAGAGAAAAAGGAGGACGGGATTGTTAGCGTGACTACCGACAATCTTTTTGACCCGAACAGATGAAGGCACGGTGCGGAAGAAAACGCTCAGCAATAGTGCACTACAACACAGAAAGGGAATTTTTTTGAAAAAGGAAGCAGGGAGTGTGTGTGTGCAAAGTAGGAAATCTCTGAAGAGCTTTGAACGTGACCTGGATTCCTATCCGTCTTGTTTGCATCAAACTGTATTGGTGCCAAAGATGTGATCAAACACTGTGTGAATCAGCTTCCAGTGTGTCAGCACACACAGCGATGGAGCCCTGTTCTCCAGGGGTTCTATTCGACGGGTTATCTTTTCTTCAGTCTCAGAAAAGATGTATTGACTTGATGTGGGTAGGATGTGTCTTTCTTGTGAGGTCTCGCTCTGTATCACAATATTTGGTGTAGGGCTGATAAATCTGTTGCTGTGCTTAATAACGTTCAAGATAATAGTCAGTGTTCTTGAAAGCGTTGAGGAAAAGGGCACCTTTCTCAAGCTTTGACAGGAATTGTTGTTGAGCTAAAATGTTAATGCTTCCATTGAATGCCACACAGATGGATGTATGTTAAGAGGTAGCAGAGAACAGAAACTCATAGTCCCCGTTCAGACCTGGTATTAATATCCGTCTTGAGTTTTCTCATCACAAGCAGTCAGCATTCAGTATAGAGGTCAAATGCACCTCAATGCAAAAGTTGGTTCCATCTCAACTAATGTGGGTATGCCCGATCCATTGGTACCATCCCCGAGCTTCTACGACCTTCGGAAGGGGTCAAACCACCAAATCTAAAAACAAAAGTACAAGATATTTTCAAATAACTTTTTTCTGAACGTCATAGAGACTTGGGCATTTCATGATTAATAAAGGGGAGCCTGCCACGCGCCCACACCAAATGTCAGCACATTTCGAGCAAGCAGCGCAGAGTTATTCACCCTATGGTGATCCGGGTTAGGGTTGAAGTTAGGGTTATAAACATTGACCACCACTCCAACCATCAAACAAACACATTAACAACAGACACAGCTGGATGCTCCAAATAGATCAAAACATTCAATTAAATTGTATTTATATAGCACCAATCACAACATACATGACATCACTCAGGACAGATGTTAAATCCAGGTGTGAACAGAGCCATAGAGGCTGTTGGGTAAAGAAGAGACAATGATACAGCAGCAACTGAAACTACATTGAGAGCCACAAATGAAATGTGGAATATTTTTTATTTAAATATATAACCTGTTTTTTTCACATCACTCTCCACAATCTTTTTTTTACAATTTTTTCTTTTGCTGTTCCTTCCAGCGGGCCTCCCTTTCAGTTTATAGTGGAACCTTTACAGATGGAACATAATGTGGCTGTGGGCTCAGGTCTTCAATCAGCCTAAAAGGGCGCATGTCATTTGCCGCTCATCGACCTCCACTGGGTACTCCCGGCGACCCGAATCAAAATCAGCTGAGTAATGCTTGCCCACAGGGCGACTTCTGGGTCTGCGCCCTTTAACTTGAACTTGTTGATACGTGCTTATGCTCTTTCTCAGCCACTGTGTTTCCCCAAAGGAACATCATCTGGCCTTGTCATCCCTGCACACGAGGCAATCACATTCCCCCGATGGCGGAACGCTCCACCAAATGCTATCAGAGCAGGGACATCCCTCTCTGTCCTCAAGTGCCTCTTGAAAACCCATCTCGTCCAAGAGCACCTACTCTCCTAACACCTCGAACACCCAGACATGACTAACTACCACTTTCTGTGGACTTTCAGTGCATCTCTTTCTCTTATCTAATCTCTTTGTCTTATTGAATAGATTCAGCAGTACTTGAGACTCTCCTACTGTATTAAAGCTTTACTGTCCCTAAATTGGATAAAAACATCAGCCAGATGATTCATTGTAAATGTGAAGTTTCATTATGTAATCTATCTAATAATTCCAGAAATGTCAGCAAAGACAACTGATTGTCCAATTGGGTGTTCTGCGCACTGAGTCGAGCTTCACTGACTATTGAATAAACAGGCACACTGCTCTTTGTGAAGCAGCGGTGGTGCGGCTTCATGCTTCTGCAGACTGATTCCTGCAGTTGGTCTTTATTCGCTGCGGCTCAAATACTGCAGGTCACATTTTAAAAGTTTAAAAAATAAAAGTGCAACCAGTATCACCACAAGACAAATAAACAGCCCATTCTAACCAGGCAGGTTTAGAAGAAGTATTTTGAAAACCTCAGGATTTCAGCCTCCAAATAGAAGAAGTAGAAGTTTTTCTCTTCTTCAAATGAAGCACACACACTATTGTAAAAGTTTTTGAGCATATTTCCATTTAATTCCCATGGAGTCTCTTCTTTCTGTCTTTCTTACATAGTACCTCCTTGAAGACATGCACATTTGAGATTCAGAGCATTGTCAGTGTACTGAAGTTCTCGATTTTTTGTTTAACATCTTTCTCCTCCGAATTTATCCTGAAACTTGACAGATGATCAAATCTTTTGATCTCAGCGTATTTCGTCCCCACTCTCTGTATCTGTAGGTAATTCAGGTAACCACCCTAAAACATGAAGCACATTTGCTCTGGGCATTTTGCTGAG